TGACTTGACAGAGAAAAAGCACTGAAGGATAAGACTGGGTACGTCAGCATGATTCAAGGCAGTGGCACCGGATGGTAGTAGTCATTGTATTCTAAACCACCTGCACTTGCAGTAAAGGGAAAAAAAAAAAGTCAGCTTCACTTAAAATGCCCTTGAAGAAGCATTAAAATTACTAATTCTATTAAATTTCATCCCTTCAAGAGACTTAATATTCTGTGTGATAAATTGGGCAAATACACATCATGCATCTTTGTGAACCAGGCACAATGGCTGTCTTGAGAAAAAGCATTTATATGATTATTTGAGCGAGGAGCTAACTAGTTGATTTTTTTCACGAAACACTAATTTTGTTTCTAAAGACAACTTATAGACAAACCATGGTTAATCAGACCTGGGTATCTGGCCGACATTTTCTCAAATACGAGCTATGGGAACAAGTCCTTTCAAGGAAAACAAAGGATAATATTTGTTGCAATGAAAAACTCAAGATTTTAATCTAAAATTGGAATTCTGGAAAAACTATCTACATTGTGAGCTTGACAACTTCCCAATAACCCAAAATTCCTCTGATATTAACAATGTGATTCTTTGAAATAATGAATTCTGTCAATACTTGGAAAACCTGCACTATTCATAAAACCTATATTTTCCAAGTAACCAATGCATGATGTTACAAAATCCATTTAAACAGTAAGTAAGAGAGTATGAAGACTCATTGAGTGGTTTCAGCCTAACCTTTGAGAAATTCCTACTTGCTAAGTTCTGGCGTCGCAGCAAAGAATACCTACGATGATTTGAATGGGTCATTAAAACACTCTCTCCTTTTCTAACTCTCTCTCTCTCAGTGAGGCAGAATTTTCTTCAGAAATCTCCACCAAAACAACATATTGCAACAGATTGAATACTCAAGCAGATATAAAAACCCAACTCTCTTCTACTTAGACATTATAGATTTACAAAAATGAAAAATAATGTCACTCTTCTCACTAATTTTTTTGCTTTCTAAAACATAGTTATTTTCATAAAAATTAATTTTTAAGAGTGTGAAGGGGTCTTACTATCAATGAGTTTTAGAACCGCAGCCTTAGAGTGCTATCTTTCAATGTCTTATAAACTTGTTTTCTTTGTCCCTCCAGCACTGTGTCTTTTGTGCCCATTAAAATAAAGGGGATATTTACATAGAGGCTGGAACCTGGTGCAATGTTATAATATTTATAAAGAAAAAAAAATTTTTTTAAAAAGGCCTTGCCAAATACAGTCTATTTTTTATAGGTCTTTCTCTGGAAGTCATTGCTATTAACCATGCCTCACTATAGATGTTTGTAACAAAACACTAAAGACTGGGTAGAATGGAGAAAACAAATTACTCTGCAGAGAACCCAGCAACTCCGCTAAAATACTGTCAGTTATTTATCTACTGTCAGCAGAGGTTGCACACTATAAGCCTTGACAAGTTCCGACTCAGAAAGAATGAGGAGAGGGGCAAGCGTTGCATTTAAGGGCCTGTTCTCATGCACAGACATTTTAACACAGATTTAAAGCCAGAATGTATCTTCTAGAAAATGTCACTTTTGATTTTGATACATATCCCAGCGAGTAGGCTCTACATTTGGTTGACTTAGTACGAGCTATGTTAGAGGCTAACACTATATTTTAGACCATTCGTGATCCCGGCGTGAAACTCACACAATGAGGTCAGCGTCACTTCATTTTTAGAGTGGGCTAACTGCAACTGCATGATTTCATGGGCATATTTTTTTATGATAAGGGGGCGGGTTTTATTTTTGTTTTGTTGGGAAGGTAATGACAGGCTCCAAGAATCCTGTTGCCCTCTCTGGTGGCCATTTCTCCCCTTTTGTTTACAGGGGAAGCAATCATCACCGTGTTCTCTCGCTAAGTCCCTTCTCTCGGGGAAGCATATGTGGCCAATGCAGAAACACAGGAGACAGGAGAGCTTCGGGCAGGCTACCCTAAAGAAACCCCGCCCCCAGAAGCAGGTAGTTTTATTAGCTCGTAATACTGACAAGAACATGGGAAGTGTCTGGGTAGGGAAAACCCAAACCAAGAGGGCTGGATAAGAAACACAACCCTGGTCATTTCTAGTAAAACCACGGTTTCCTTTAGAATACAGTTCAGATTGACTGGTCCGTTATAGGATTTTTACCCAGGCGATCAGAGGTCTAAATAAATGTGTGCTTGTAACTGGGGGTGGCTGATGAATGCTGAACCAGAATCTTAATTTTCTAATTCATATTCACCAATTAAAAATAAACTGTATTTTTATGAGCAAATTTACATAAATCAGATGATAAAGCATCTACCACTAAAGGGTAGGAGTTCAGTGCCCGACATTTGCATATATTCTCCTAAAGAAAATATAGGCGTTTTAGATTTTCATTGAAGAGCCTTGCTGTGTTGGAACTCTAATGGGCTTAGAACAGTAAATTTTGAAGAAACTGATTGCTACCCCTGTAGCTAGTAAATGTCTGCCTAGACCCAG